GGGGGGCAAAGGGGGGGAGGGGGGGAGGGCATGCAAAGCATGGAGTTGGAGAGAAGCGCCTTGGTTGATACCAACATTTTGGCGGCTCTTGAAAAAGAGGAAGAGAAGTGCCACCATCGCAGTGAGTGTCACTAGAATGGTAATGAATTCCGCATAGAAGCTTAATGAAGCGAATGAGCACAGCCTTGCCACGCTGCACTCGAATTCTGCTCGCATACAACACAGTAGACAACAACCGACACGACTTGAGAGAAGGACAATCACCATTACTATCATCAGACTCGAGACGAAAACTCATCATCATCATCCTCAATAAATCACCTGTAAAGAGTGCCACTGTTAGAATTTCCCCGGAGTCGAACCGAGAGTCCAGCCAATTCACTCAGGCAGCTTCAAAAACAAACCGGAGAGGCATCACATCACAGAGGAGCGGCACTCGCATCGACACGCTGAGGTAAAGAAAAGGGCCCCTGTCTCTCTCCCAAGAAAGCTCAACCCAAATATAAGATACCCTGTCATCATACTGGCAGCCATCTCCTGCCTCACTACCCTCCATAGACACAGCCCTAGCACCTGGTCTGGTTCTCTTGCCTGGCACCGCACTTACTACGTCAAGCATTCCAACCTCCCTGCACAGCTACCAGTGCACTGCACCGCATGCAGCCAGCCTTCCTATACATCGCCGCCAGACAGAACCACTGGATGAAAACCAAAAGGCCGTATGAGTCATTTCCCATGAAGACTGTTGTTAAACCACCAGTACTTGGCCCAGCTATCGGCCGCAGAAAAGAATAGAGTAGAAACGTTTCTAGTTGGATGAATTTGGGCGCTCCTGTAGTGGCCCGTACATTTCCTAAAATCGCGTAGCGTTAACGGGTACGACTTTTGGAAGTACTGGTGGTTTAAGGTCATCCCACACTGGCCCATCAACCTGGTTAGTTTTAGAGCCAGTTCATGGATCCCGCCGAAATAAACATAAGTGCACGTGGTAACCAATCCACTTCTGTTAACCGTAACGAACTCGGTATTCATTATATGGGACGACGACAGCACCACTCTGCAAACGCAGTGCTCCAGTCTGTATCATGTATCATCCCCTGTGCCGCCACTACCTTTCCCAGGCAAAGTCGAGAATCGAAAACGTGGCATTCCGAAGACTTCGGATGAACAGCGTTACCGGACCGAGATGGCTGACAGCGCCGGTCAAAAGAAAGAAGGGAAAAAAGAAGGAAAAAAAAAGCGCCGCCGTGGTGGTTCGTTTCGTCCGCGCGCAGGAGGAATCTGCCTCGGCAAACAGAGGCTCAGTCAAAGGTACGGTTGTTTAAGTCAGCCAGGGATGGCATATAAACCTGGCCAGCCTTACAGCCAGAATTCACGTTGACCACAAACATGGCGTCAGTTTGCACTGCCTCATAAGCATGGTCAGCCAGACTTGTGAAGTGGCATGTGAAGACTGCAGCAACATTAATGACTGGTCAGCCAGACTTGTGAAGTGGCATGTGAAGACTGCATCAACATTTAATGAACTGCCAGACTACACATCTGTAGAACTCCTGAAGAGAACTCTTGGTAGGTTCAGCTGCATTGGCACATTAAACCGCCAGTACACAGTTGCAGCTTGAGATGAGGAAAGAGCTTGAGAGAAGTTCGGACAGTATTTTCAACTCTTGTTGGAATGAGACCATTATATATTCTTTCTGGCTTTCTTCCACTCTGAGCTTAATACCGATATAAAAAAGGGACGGGAGGGCAACACCATTGAAGAGGTAACGCCACCGGATACTAAGGAATTACCTTTACACCTGGTCATGAAGGGCAACATAGCGAACCCTCGCGACTAATGCCACCAAACTACTACTACCGGGCCCATATCGCATGATAGGAAGACAGATAAGGCTGTGATTGACTACTTCACGGTACTGCACAGTGCATACCTCTCTCTCTCTCTCTCTCTCTCTCTCTCTCTCTCTCTCTCTCTCTCTCTCTCTCTCTCTCTCTCTCTCTCTCTGTGTGTGTGTTGGGGGGCGGGGGGAGAGCGGCGCTGGGTGTGTGTTGTTTTAAAAGACCCCAGATTCTCTCTCTCATTCTCTTCACAAATCATCACAAGCCATCCATAACGAAAAAGCACAGATAGCCAATATAATAGAAAATGCAAGGTTGGCCACGTTTGTGTGGTTCAGCGCCAAGTGCCCACACACCCGTCTGCCGCCAATGCGGCACACTTGCACATATGTGTACATATATATTCCAAACCATGAGGGGATGGAGGGCAGAAGGCAACTTACCTAAGACAGATGACTACTCCAGCAAGAAGGCCCCGACCCGACCCCCTCAAAGGTCCGAAAAAACTTGGAGAGCCTTCCACATCGACCCACAAAACCAAAAACCCACTCGTCAAGACAAACAAATATAGCAGCATTGCCATTCCCGACGTTCATCTCAAACTACACACTCACCTCACTACCTGTCTGTGTGTGTATGTGTGTGCGCATTGTTCCCAATATATGTATGACTACATACATGAGGTTTTGACCAGGCTAAGTGCCCAAACACATCATACATCATGTCCTCAGAGACTATGCTCACAACCTCCTTGACTATAAAGATGACAAAGAAAAAAGGCTATTCGCCCACTGGGCTGTAGCTAGGTCTTGCTAGGGAGATCTGCCGGTAAATATGACGTGTTCGAAAATTTAGTGGATCTAAAAGGCATCAGATTTTGATACAAAAACATGGCAGAAACTGATGGTAGACATTGGCTTATGAAAACAGAAATGAATTCGTCGGTGTGGACAATCAGCAGGGAAGGAACTCATACATGTGCTGACACATGCACTGCACCCCTCAACAACCACACCCCAGACATGCCTGCTCGGGATGATGATATAGCCTGCACTCGTGGCGACACGAAGGAGAAAAGCCTCAGTTGAAATCATGTTCGAAGTTTATTTGAATCAACGCAATTTTGTCGCGTAAAATGATCAGTTGCCGAAGACGTATGAACACTCGAGTTCAAAGCTGTACTCATTCTGACTTGCTGGGGGAAAAGAAACTGGGCTGAGACTCCTCAGAATGGACATAAGAGCCCGGATGATAAGCACCCATTCTAACCGAAGGAAAAAAAGACACCTGACGGTGGAGGTCACCTGCTGGAAACTAGGTCAATGTGACAGGTTGTCCAATTCGATTGAAAAAATAAAAGACGTAAATCGAGCACAGAAAATAGACTATTGGAAGCATACACGATCAGACCTCACTCAACCACTTTTCACTTCCACACAGGGTTGCATACCTGCCGACCGCCGATCGTTTTGCAGCCGACCAGTAGGGCCGACCGGTCGCCGGTCTGCCGACCAGTCAGAAAACAGCCATCCACTGATTTGTTTTCAAATCTGAGTTGGGGGCGCTTGCTGAGTACAGCCCAAATCCGCTGAGAAAGTTTTAGGGATGGGGGGAGGGGGATATAGGGGGGG